GAAGAATCTAACTTACAGTTTATTCATAACACAGACACGTTTTGTCTTGTCATTTTCAAAAACTAGTGTACTTGATATTTTTATAGCTTTAAAAATACATTTCACTGTAGCTGTTTTCTTTGATTTGTATTTTTAATTCTGAAAATTTGGAAAGTTTAATTTTTTTTCCTGTTATTACTGCTACTTTATAAAATACGCTTAATCTACTTCTTTACAAGTGCCTGTTAACTTCCATGAGCAATAATAAAATTAGTGCATTTCTCCACCCCCTCACCTAATTTTAGTTGACTGTACTCCCTTTCTTAATGTTCAACTTTGTACTTCATACCAAATGATAAATTGGCTGGCTGTACAATTCTTGGCTTATAGTGCCTTTCCTTGAGGATTTTGAAAGCATTGCTCTGCCGCTTTCTAATGTGAGTGTTGATGTGGAAGAATATGAAGCCAGCCAGATTATTTTTTTGCCCTTATAAGTGACTTAATTTTGGAGAGGGGTAATGGGGGACACAGAATGTAGAAAGGGTTCTTTATCTTTGAGGCTTAGTAATTTTACTAGAATATGTCTCAATATGGACCATTCTATACCAGTTTTTTCAGGGCTGTGGTGTTGTTTTTCAATAGCTAGAATCAAATGCTGTTCTTTTCTGGAATATTTCTGTGAATTACATTTTAAAATACTTGTTCTGTTGCATTTGTAACACTGTTTTCTCTTTCAGGGACTCCAGTTATGAATATGTAGATCTCTTTTGCCTATCTTTGATATCTATTATTTTCCCTTCAGTTTTTCTTTCCTTTTTATTTGTTCACATTTTTTTACTTGATTTCATAATTTGTCTTCTCTGTCCCTTACAGTATTTTCCAACAATGTCTTTTCTCCCTTGTATACCTTCAGAATTCACCTTATTTCTGTAATAGTATTAATTTTCCACTTCTTTCCTAAGATCTACCAATTCATATTTCATCATCTCTTTCCTATTATCTTGAAATCCTGTGAACTCATATCTCTGCTTTGTGCTCTTTCTTCAAACAGGCAACTGCATCATTTAAAGGATGTTTGATCATGGCTTTCATCTGTTTTGTGGCTTTTTTTTTAAGTTTTACTGTTTTAGCTATCTGATAGTTTTTTAAAAATGAGGTTTTTATTTCTCCATTTGTCATTTGTTTTTCCTTATATTTTCTCACACTCTCGTGTATAAAATCTCTGCAAGATTTATTTTGACTACTCTGCTTAAAGAGAGGTTTTTATTTTAGACCATCTACTTGCCCAAAGTTTATAGTGGAGACGGATGGGGACTGTGCTCCTTATGACTCAGAGAGTCTTACATGTGACTTTAGCCTTTAACTTTTCCCCAGTCAATGGAGATAGGCAGTTGTGGCATCTCTAAGATTCTTCGTCTCTCTCTCTCTTTTTTTTTTCATTGCTCAGTTTTATTAGGTAGAATTCTTACAACTTGACTGCACATATACAATACGTTGCATGTAAATACATATACACAATATACTGCACATATTTTTAAAATTTACACATATGTACTATTCATTGTTTCTAAGAACATTTAGAGCTTTAGCTTTTTAAACTTACATAGTTATCAAAGGAATAAAGCCAACCACAAAATAAGGATTAATTCAAAAAGATACATACACTCCACTATTAATAGCAGCGTTATTTATAATTGCCAAGATATGGAAGCATCCTAAGTGCACATCAACAGATGAATGGATAAAGAAGATGCAGCATATATATGTAATGGAATACAACTCACCCATAAGAAAGAAGGAAATTTTGCCATTTGCAGCCCTTCGTTCAGTTTTTTTTTTTTCACTTTATAAAACAGAATTTTATAACTGGCATATACATTTCCATTGCATCAAAAACAACAAAATACCTAGAAATAAACTTAACCAAGGAGGTTACCTATAGTCTGAAAACTGTAAACCTTGATGGAAGGAAATTGAAGATGATACAAAGAAATGGAAAGATATCTTGTGCTCTTGGATTGGAAGAATCAACATTATCAAAATGGCCATACTACCCAAAGAAATCTACAGATCCAATGCTCATCTATCTCTTAAATTTAATATTTTGGGTTTTCACAAGAACAGTCTGATTCCTACCACTATGGCTTCCCTGTTCTAACTCTTTGTTTCCACTGCTTCTTGAGACCAAATCTAATCCAGGAAAGCTCCCACTTGTAGTTCAAGGATCCCATTCCTAATATGCAGTGTTTAGGTGGGTATGACTCTCGTCTAGAAGTGTCTTGTTACAGGCTTTCTCTGTAATCTGCATACCTGAGCAAACTCCACCTCCATGCCCATCTGCCCTTAATTTCTGTTGCTGTTGGAAATCTTGTCACCTGTTTTGTAATTTGCAGTTTCTGTTTCTTAACTTCATTGAAGATAAAGTGTCTATTTTCAGTCTTTTGTTCTTTTTGTTACTTTGGAGTGACCCTAGGAGGAAAAGGAGGCAATGCTGACTTCAGGCTGCCATGTTCAAATAGGATGATCCTACAATCCCATTTCTTTAATTATCTGCTTCCTCAACTTCCTCACTTTCCCCTTACTATGTAGTTAATTACTCTCCTGAAATTTCTCATTTGAAGATCATACTTTGTTCAAGCCAAATTCTTAACCTCTGCAACATTTACGTACTGCTGGTCACCCTCTTCAGTTTGAAACTCCCTGGTTCTTTGGCCTCACGGACTCTATCCCTGATTTTGGGTTTCTCTTAACTTTATCTTTTTCAGAGTCTTTTTTTTAATATGAAAGGTAAACAACTAAGTTTTAATGGAATATATCAGTAGTGAAATCTTCATAACATTGAGGATGGGAAAGAATTCTTAAACAAGACTCAAAAATCACTAGCCATAAAGGATATGTTTGAGTAATTTGAATTCATTAAAATCTGGGAATTCTTTCTGTGAAAAGATACCATGAAGAACATGTACAGTTTAGGCACAAAGCTGGGCAAGATTTTTGTGACTCAAAAGGGCTCTAATCCAGAATTTATAATTAATTCTATATTCTATTATTTGCATGTCACAATTTGTTTTACTGTTGAATGACATTTGGATTATTTCATGATTTGAGTTATTACAAAAATTGCTGCTGTGAACATTCATATAAATGTGTGTACACACACATATCCTGGTACACGTGTGCCTGCATTTATAAAGGTTGTATCAGAGAGGAAGTTTGAGAAGTAGAATCTCTAGGTCATGGGGTATTCATATTTTTTTTTCTTTTTGTTTGTTTTTTTGGAGGGGAGGTAATTAGGTTTACTTATTTATTATTTTAATGGCAGTGCTGGGGATTATACCTGGGACCTCTACATTGAGGTATATCCTTCTCCCCCATATTTTCAACTTTAGTACATACTGCTAAACTGCTTTCCAAAGAAAATAAATAAACCACAGCTACCTGTTTCAACTTGGATAAATTTCTCAAACAATGTTCTGCAAAAGAAGCAAGACCCAAAAAAAGTACATACCAAATGATTCCAATTATGTAGAATTCATTAACAGGCAAAAATTAAGCTGTATCTTTTAGGACGGATATATAGGTGGTTAAAAAAAAAAAAAAGCAGGAAGATGGCTGCCCAAAAGTCAAGGTTGTGAGGACTCCTTCAAGGGAGAGGTGAGGTGGTGTTGGGGCAGTGACATACAGGTGTCTCGCGAGGTGTTGGTAATGTTCTGTTTCTTGATTTGTGTTTTGGTTACACTGGAGTTCATTTTATAATAACTTGTTGAAGTGTTTACAGTTAATGTTTTATGCATGTTTTCCTATTTGACAATGAAAAGGGCTTTAAAAATGAAACCTGAGAATTGATTTGAATGAATGCAATTTAAGATACCCTTAGGCAATTTTATTTTTCCTGTCTTAGTTTAAATACAGTAGAGGGGGGATTAAAAGAAGCAACATAACACTGGAAAGCTCTTCTTTTAACCTAAATTCCTATCTGTGTCTTTTTATAAGGTTTGTCACCATTGTGCCGAAATAAAGTAGTAAAGATGCCATCTTAGCAAAAATACAAGTTTTTGAAGTAATTCTCATTTTTTCTTTTCTTTGTTCTCAGCTATAGTTTAAAATTCTTTTGAGCTTGTCACATAATAATACTATAGAATAAAATCCAAAGTACTTTTCTCTGTTACATTTCCAGAATGGTGTCATCGTCCTTAAGGGCAGGAATATGTCACTATAACAAGAGTGTAAGCATTGGCAGACTGTTTCTTATAGTTAATAGAAGAAATGCTTTGCAGATTTTCCCCTGAATTCTGACATGTTTATGGAGAAAATAAATATGAAACTACTTAACAGCTTTGCATTTTCCTAAACTCTAATGTAATAGGAGTAATGTGATAGTAATGTCACAGGAAGGAATGGAAATACACAATTTAAATAACATGAAAATTCTGAGCATATTCTTACATCCATAATAAATCTGCATATATTATTATTGTTTTTTAACTCTGGAAATAGAACTAGATTTGCTCTGTTTGGCATTCTTGTGTCTCATACAGAAACCCCCAGAAAGGATAGCAGGGTCATTTATAAGTGAATATGAATGGGGAACGTCAGTAACATTTGTGTCTCTTCACTGTCCCTTCCAGTCAGGCTTTTGCTCTGGCCTGGCTCCTGAAGAAACCAGAGTAGAGCTGTGGGTTTTTTTGCAGGGAACAGATTCCTTGATCAGCAGTCTTCTCAGTTCTTTTGTCCAAAATTGGAACCATTTCCAATGCTGCTAGCCTGGGTTTCTAAAGCTATTTAACATTCCTATAATTCAGATACTGCAGGTACCTAATTTAGGCATCAGCATTGTGAATTTTATTCTCTCTAGTCCCTTTGATGTTGATAAAAGAATGAAACAGTTCCACCATTGCTAATTAACTTTTTCATCTGTGTGAATTTGGGTTAGAGACAAATGAGAGTAACTATTTTTAGGCTTATTCACTATTTCTTACCTTTCTCTTTTAACTGTGTAATTCTGTTTTATCTTAATGTAGGTACAGCCTGACTGTGTGGACTGGAAAAGATGATAACTATTCCACTGAAGATTTACTTTTTATTAGAGACCATTTTGACAAGAAACAAGTTTTCTATGATATCTTGGAGCCACAAAACCATGAATTTAAACAAGCCATTGGAATCAAAATTAATCTCTAAGATGAAAATTATTCTAAACTATTTCATGTTTTGGTTTCACAATCCTTCTTTGCTTTGGTCTGAATTAATTAACATATAAATTGTGGTGACTGATTTATGTTCCAGTTCATCCAATCAAAGAACATTTATCAGGTGCTTACTCTATTTGGCGTACTGTACAAAAGATTTGGAAAGAAGAGATTTCAGTGGGCCTAGTCTAATAATAACTTATGAAAATGATGCTTTAAGTCTTTTTATAAAAATAATTGTGATATACTGCAATTGAAATACTCCATGTGTCAGACAAGAATTAAGTCACATCTTGTTGGCATCAGCATTACAGATATTTCACAAAAATGCAGCATCCTCTTCCCTTTTTCCTTGGAGAATAGGTTATTTCAGAGACTACAAAAGAGTAAGTAAAAAGGCTTTTACAGTTTTTTTAACTTTCACATGGGTGAGCTGCTTTCTTGTAAGAAAATCAAATCCATATATAGATTAAATTAGATGGATCTAGAATTTCTATATTGTTGGGAGTGTGCTGGCAGCTATATATGTTTTTATATTCCTTGTTTTGATCATAGTATCTTATCTAGAATGAACAAGCTGTTGGAGAGCAGAAATTTTAATCCTGGTAATATTTGATTTTCAAGTTTCTCACCAACTCTACCTTGGTTCAGGCCCTTGTTCTACTACTAGAATTTCAAAAAATAGTTCTTCATGACTTTATTTCTCACACTCAAAGATGCCGTGAGTACTTCTGCTGAAAAATAACCTTTGTAAACAAAAAGTTCTTTCTTTATGCCACATAAAAAGATCTCCCGGGGCTTGAGTTCAGGTTTATTGAGTTTTACTCTTTCAAGGCCCTTTGTAATGTACTCCCACTCTAACAGTCAACGCAGTGTCCTCAACACAGTCCTTCATTTCGAAAATGCCTACACCATCAGTGGTCTCCAGATACTACTTTAACAGTTAATTTTAAGTAATATTATTTACTAATTGTGTCATACGTGTTAGCTATATCTCCTCAACTGGATTCTAAAGTTCTTCCTTCATGGTAAGGGAACATTGTAAACTGTCTTTTACAGTGCCTGGCACAGTCCTAAGCAAGGTATTCAGAAAAACATTTTGCTTCTTTGATTTACTGAAAAGTAATTTACCAACGGATGTCCTAAGATATGTAATTTACACTAACTGTTTTCTCCCGGAGAATGAAGTAGTGCTATGTAGAGAAAAGAGCTTGGGTTTTGAATTCAGACAGACTTCCCTTACAGCCCCACCTTTGTTCCTTACTAGCCATAGATTTGGGGAATTATTTAACCTCACTGAGTCTTGATTTCTTTAATAAAAAGGGGAGGGGGAAATGAGGACTCTCTTGTAGGACTGGTGTGAAAATTAAGGGAGACTCATGCAGTGGAAGCATGTAGCTCAGTGCTCATCACATAGCAAGTGCTCAACAGATAGTTCCCTTCTTTTAGACTTATCATGTGATCATATCCATGGTGGATAGATAGCAGTAAGAGATGTAACTTGAAACTCTGTAGACATATAAATACTTAAGGAAAATAATTGTACTTCCACTTTAAATTTTAGCTACAACTGAATACAATACTATTTGTCAAATAACACATAAAACTTAAGTTCAGTGGTTGTCTTAAAGAAAAGTACTTGTGGTAAACTGAACTATCCATTTTTTCATGGAAAAAATATTTACTTGGAAGAATAACTGACAGACCAGTTACTTAGTCTTGGGTATCTGGCATGTATTTTCTCAAAAATGAACAAAAGCAAGCTTGTCACTTCAAGGAATACAGTTAACAGTATTTGTTGCCAATGATGAAACCTGAGCTTTTACATGAAAAGTCAGAATTTGACTTAACTCGAACTCATCCAACTGTAAGCTTGACCATTCCCAATACTTAAAGACTTACCTGATATCAGAGGTAATATTTTAAAAAATGTTTTTTTATGTTATATAATGAAACATGTCAACACTTGGAAGATCTACATAACTCAGGGAATCAGTATTTTCCAAATGTCTTATGCATGGTATTATAAAATCTTGCATTCAAAGTGTAAGACAGAGCAATGAGATTTAGTGTAATAGAATATCGAAGTTCCTTGATGTGGTCTCAGATTCTACATTACAACTAACCATTTAAGAAACTACCACTTGCCAAATTTGACTATCGTATCAAGGAAGACTGTCCACAATTATCTGAAAAGCCTATTAAATTATTTCTTCCTTTTCCAACTACATATCTGTGTGAAGCCATATTTTCTTTATATACTTCAACTAAAACAACGTATCACAGCAGATTGAAGCAGAAACATAGAAGAGAATACAGCTGTTTGCTACTAAGCCAAACATGAAAAGATCTGCAAAAACAAAAACAGTGCCACTCTTCTCAATATATTTTTGGGAAATATTTATGCTACTATGTAATGGGTTTGTCATTTTAAAAGAATATTTTTTAAATTTCCCAGTTTTAATTTTTAATGTAGTAAACATTGATACACATAACCCAGTACAGAAGTGTATTTAAGTTGTTTTTAAGTTAAAAGGGATGTATAAAATGAATGACCCATTTGGAACTTTGTAGGGGAAAGAGAATAATTATAGCCATTGTCTTGCCAATTTATCAAATAATGTTTTCTAGCTTTTCATAATTCCTTATCCTGAATCCTAGGTGCCACAGCTGCCCTATGAGTTAGAACTTTACGTGCATGAGCCATGCAGTCCTTTAATAACTTATTTCTGGACGATGTTTTCCATTTTGATCAACTGATACTGCTTTAAGTAGTCTTGGTCAGAAACATTTTAGGTGCAGTAACAGAATCCTACTCAAATTAACGCAAATAGAGGAGGCTAAAGGGGAAATTGCCATAAGGAGACATATCCAGAAAATTTAGGGAAAAGCTGAACATCTAGGCTGCAGTGTTATCATACCTTTAAGTTAAATCATACTTTTAGGTTATATATAACTCCTGTTGCAAACATCTTTGCCATTGGGATCTTAGTGATATATTCCTCTTAATGGAGTGAAGTTCCACAGGATGGCTTTACTAACCAAACTCAAACAACCTCCACTGCTAAGATGTTCTCAGGATTGTTAGAAGACTAAACTCTTCCAAATATGGCCAACAAAGTTTTAATCCTATTAAATATTTTTTTTCATGTTGGGATAAGAATAGCAACAAAAGTTATCTTTCTCAGTTTGTGTCTTCTCAGAGTAACATGTGGCACAATTTCTCTTAAGGTTATGTTGAAATATTTATCATTAGTATTTGAGAGAAGTAATTATCAGTGATAATCAAAATGACATTTAAATCTTTATTGATACCATTTCATTTATGAACTGTCTAGCTACATATTCTTCCAAACTGTATCCTTACAACTTAAAGCCAAGAACTTTCCTCAATATTAAAACTTGCAAAAAGGGTTTAACTTTTTAACATCAGGTACAATTCCAAGTTCTGAGTCAAAAAATACTTCTAGTGCAATTAGTATTAGTGTTCTTTGAAACATTAAATGAAAAACTTCCAGGTTTTTTTTCCAAATAAAAGCCACAAGAAATTAAATAATTACTATGTAAATAACAACTTGCTTATATTAAGTTACAGAGAAAAGCATCATGCCAATTGCTAGGATCTCCTCTACTGATAGAAGACAGAGAAATAGTTGTGTATGACAGTCATCAAATTATACACTCAGGTTTTGTATAGTTTGTATGGTTTTCTATAGTTTGATTTATCTTTATTGTTAAACTGCTAGATTGAAATTAGGACTCTGTATAAACACCATATTTTGAAATCATATAGATAATATAGTCATTTTATAATACTTTTTGGTAATGGCACGGTATTCATTTATTTTGTTACAAGTTATTCACAGGTCCTAAACACTAGATGATTGGAATGTCACATTAAGGTAGTCATCCTTATTACTCTAATTATACAAATGTCTAATAATTATATATCAGAAATAAAAAGGTATTGTGTAACACTGGCCAAATATTTAGTACATTTTATAATTAAATTTCTATTGGCTTTCTTAATTTTAGCTAACCTAAGATAATCTAATAACCAGTTTTTCTTTTTACGACAAAGCAAGCATTTAATTTCTATTTGTGATTAATCCCAAACTTTTTTTTTTTTGGTGTCCTTAGGAAAGACAAGAATAGTTAGATATAAGTAAATGAGAAATGCTTTTTAACTTTTGATTTATCTTGTTATTGGGAACCCTGTGTTCAAAAAACAGTAACAGGAATTAAAAGATATAGAGAAGTAATTCCATAAGTTAACATTAAAAAACAAAGCAAAGCAACTAATAGCATACAAACACTTGGGATAGATTATTACTAGTTTATAAAACTCTAATCTCCCATTTTGTCACTGATTAAGCTGACAACATGAATATTAGCTGCATGGGCTACTATAATGGTTGACCTTTTAAAATTTTAATTAGATGTCACCTACCTGCAGTCAGCATTTTTCAAGAATTAGTTCATTCTTTCTTTATAGCTTAAGTTTATTGATCATGGAACACTTTATAGCTGTTAATGTTTTCGTCTATGGGGTTGGCATCGTGGAAAGTTATAATCTTATTTATTGACTTCAAATGTTTTTTAAAAACTATTGATTTGAATGCAATGCTTCCTAATAAAACATTTAGCAAATGAAATTTTTTAAAGTTATCTCCAACATATGTGACCTTCTTTCCTTGCGTATTTTTGTTTAAATTAAAAATATGGACCACATGATGTTGCTAGATATTGAAGGTTTTGAGAAAAATAGCTTCAATTTTGTTTGAGAGAATTCCCTTAGCAAAAACTATATATTATCTGTAGATCCACAGTGCCTAATACAATGATACATGGTACATTTTGATACCCCTATTGTGGACTAACCAATTATAAGTTTAGAAGGATGAACATTTGAATTGTCTTCTTTAGTTCCATTGTTCTCTGATATAGACATTTGAACAAAATGTATTTTCTAGCCATCTCTTAAAAATTAACTAGTTGCTTAATTTGTTCTGTTTGCAATGATTGTCTCCTTAGCAATGTTTTTTTACTTTTGAATTCTTTGGGGAAAACAGGAACTGTTGGCATAAGCACTTTTTGACCACAAGAAAGAAGGCTGGACATCTTGTTACTGACACTGATATCTGAGATGGGAGGGTGAGGATTCACATTTAAGGGTGGCAGAAATCCTGGTCTGGTCTGTGTAATGCTGTGATCTAAAGGAAATGCTCCAGAACCACGCCTTTCTAAAAGCGCATGATTTCTCCTGCTCAGGGGGCCTGGGGGGATACTCTCCAACAACTCTTTGGACCCTGACAACAGGGAAGGAGATGTCGACAGGATTTTTTTCTTTCCTGTAAGTGCTTTGCCATCTTCTAAAGTTGTAGGGGTAAGACCGGCTGACAGCTGGGAATCAGAGCTGTAGTGATTTGCTCCTGAGTTTCTTTTCTGAACTATATTTCTTAATGTGGAAGCACATATTGTCTGGTTAGAATCTGGGTCCTGGTTAACTGGGATGTCAATGCATTGCTGACTTCCTTCTGAAAAAAATGCTTGGTAATTTATTTCATCGTATGACATCTTTCTTGAGCTGGTCTGATCAAAGGCTCTTAGCAGATGTGCAGTGTCTTTTACATCAATACTTTGGTGCCTAGTGATGAATCGCTTGGAAAGTGCCAGCCCATTGATTTTGTAGGATAATTCTTCCTCTGGAGTAATATCCTGGAGCTCTTCTTGTAAGGAGGCCACTCTGTTCTGGTGCATTAATGAGGGGGTACTCTTGATCCAGGGTGAAGCCTGAGGTAGCTTGGGCCCGTTAGGAGCCATACCAGGCTTCCTCACAGGGGAGACTGGGTCTCCCATATCATCAGTGCTTCCTGAGGGCTCCAGATCTTTAGAGCCAAAAAGCGTCATTTCAGTTTCAGAAGAATGTGAACGTGACAATGAGACTGTTTTTAAGTCTATTTTTGAAGGAGTGGCACAGGTGGCTGGGGAATGACCCCCATCTATATCCACAGGAGGCATATTTAAGTACTGTTGGGTCGTGTGCCTGCCAGAGGGCGATTTTGCTGTTGTTATGATAATGACCTCTTTCCCTTTTGCCTTGCAAGCACTAAGTAAAACTTTCAGGGTCTCTCTGTCTTCTGAATTTATGGCATAAACAAGGGCCGAGTAACTAGAATGGTCTTGCAAGCTGAGGTCAGCCCCACTCTTTAGGAGCAAAGAAACAACTTCAGGACCAGCTTTTTCTAAGCAAGCGTGCATCAAAGCAGTTTTCCCAGATTTGTCCTGTATGTTGGGATCAGCATTGTTTTCTAACAGGTATTTAACCATTTTGGCTTTACTGACACCCTGGTGATCAACATGTTTGGTCTTACAAGCAATCATTAAAGGTGTTTCCCCACGATCATTGCTCTCATTAATGTAGGCGCCACCTTCCAGCAAGAGTCTTGTAAGGCGAAGCCGGCTCTGATGGACCGCTTTGATCAGGGAATTTCCATCACTAGAAAGTTCTACACCTTCATCCATCTTCAGAAGTCAGAATCAATACTGGTTATCAAAGAAGATGAAGAACAAAAGGTTAGCCAGAATCAATGGCCCAATTTATATTCATGTTATTCACAATTAATTTCTGAAATATGTATAGAGGAAGAAGACATAAATAAGATGTTATTAACAAATATGGAGCAAAATAGTGAATTGTAAAATTTAAACAATTTTTTAATAGTAACAACCTTTAGGGAAGTACAAGGTAAAATTTACTTTCAAAATCTTCATTGAATATAACACTAGCCTAGAACTTCTCTAAATCTCACATTAATTAAACAATAATCCACTTATTTTCTACTTGTGAAAAATACTTTTATAAATGATATTAAAATGCAAATTTAAGCAAAAAAGCCAAAATTCTGTGTAATTGCAACTGAATCAACCGAAATAGAGCATGTTTACGATAGCTTAACTTAAAAAACTTCTTAGCATTAAGTTACTTAAACATGTCCCTCAGTTAAATAATGCAACTAAGATCTAGATTTTCAGTTTGAGGGGCATTGTGATGTTTTTCTTAAAAGATGAAAAACATTTGGACTAGAAAATGTTAAAATAACTGACACAATGTCTGGAATTCTCACTGAGATAGGAATGGTGTGCATGTGATCATGCATTTTTCCTGATTCCATTATTTAAATCATATACTGACTAGATTATGGGGTTAGCAACATACTGGTGGGTTAAATTTTGACAGCAGTACATTTTCTCTGAAAAAGGAGTTTTCTAGGCTAGAAATAAAGACATGTAGACTTTATAAACATTTTATTAAAACTGAAAATTATTCATTTTTAATTTATTTAAATAATTTAGATTCAAATTCATTCAAAAGATAATTTCATCAGGTGGTAAGAATTATGTCTATCAAGAGCCAAGGAAATGTTAGTCTTCTAACAGTCCTTAGAGCTGGGGTAAAAGATCAAATAAAAGTTCATGTAGTATTTAAATCTATTTCATTTAATTGGGTAGCTTTTAGAAATCGAGAAGTATTATTTATTCTTCTCATTTACTTTTAAAATTAAGAATATGGGACATGAATTCCTATTAGATAATAGAGTAGATAATAAATATGACTTTTTAAAAGAGAGATGAAGAGAGCAGAAACAAGTAAAAAGGAAAAGAGACACACACACAGAAATTAATTTCACTGTTAAACAGCCATAAGTCCTCCTAACATGTGCTGGGCGCTGAGCTACAAAGGTACGGGCCTGAGCCCTGACGAGCTTACAGAGCTGTTTGGAAGAGAGACTGTATAAGCAACTGGTTATGAGTTAAAGTTATGAGAACACAACAGGCTTTAATGGTTTGGGGACGGAAGGGAGCTTCACAGAGGCTAACCATTTGAGCTAAGTCTTGAAGACTGCAAAAGACTGGCAGACAGAAAAAGTTTAGAAAGGAGTAGAGAGCAAAGACCTAGAGGCTTAAAATAGCCCAGGTATTTATCATACATCGGGCTCTACACTGATACGATAACCAAACTTTAGGAAAATAATTTAGCAGATGGTTATAGTAAGGGTGACATGGCAGAACACGCACATCTAATTCTGCCCCTTCTTAAAACCCCCTAAAACTAAAGATTGCTTTAAAAAACAAACTCACAAAGATACAGGAAAAAGAGAGAAGACGACAGCAACATTTTGGAAGCCAGGAAGCAGATGGGCCAGTTGTAAATGACTCAGCCAACCTGAGAAGGCTGTGCCTCCAGTCATTGGTGGCAGAGCGGAGAACTAAGCCCTGTACCCCGGAGAATCTGTGAAAGAGGCGGCAGCCGGAGGCGCTAGAACTGCGAGGTGGAGAGGACAGCTACGTAAGGAGGGCTAGGAGAAAAGCTGTTAGAGAGGCAGTTTGGTCCCTGGGTCCTTGCTATGGGAAGTGTGGTCGTATCTTGGACCAGGAGCAGCAGCATTACCTGAAAATTGTTAAATATGCAGAATCTCAGGTTCCACCTCAGTCCTACTGAATCAGAGCCTACAGTTAACTAAGATCCCCAGGTGATTTGCATTCATTTTAAAGTTTGAGAAGCACTGCCTCAGGTCACTCTTCTCTGAGCCACTAGGAGATAGGAGACTGCCCCTCTCCTACCTGAGAAAATGTCTAGAGGTTTTTTTTCTCCAGGAATGGTGAAACAGAGAGTCTCTGGCCTGAGAGACACTGGGCATGTCTGAGGATAAAAAAAAAGAGAGAGAGAGAGACGTGATGGTATGCTAGCTGACCAATGCTTGAAGGGACTCATAGCCTTCCTCCCCAACTCAGCTCCAAGAAGGATGGCAGCCTTACCTTTATCCTTTGGAAGAAAATCGCTATACTTTTCTCTCAAGGATCTCACCTACCAAAGAGAAAATACCTTAGAGTACTGACCAAGGGGTTCCCCTACATGCCACCCAGATCATCCTACAGCATGGCTTAAAGATCACCCATGTGCTGTAGGCTTCACATTGGGTTTTTAATCCAAGCCCTTTAACCGTGAGCATGCAAACAAACCAACAAAAAAGCCTGTTACATTAAAGATAGAAACCAGAACAAATAGAAAAAACCAACCTGGAGTAGACAGGTATTAGGAAAATGTAAACTTCAAAAACTCATGGGATAAGATGATGTAACCATGAAATAAGGATAAGATTCTATGAAAAAAAGAACATTCTGAGACCATAAAAAGCTCTCAAAGGATAAAAACATGATACAAACTGCAAAACTCAACTGACGGATTGGATAATAACATTAGTAAAATCTCTAACAGTCAATCAAAAAGAAAAGAAAGAAAAAACCAAGAAAATTAAAGAACTAGATCAGTGAATCCAAGATCCAACCAATAGAAGTTCCTGCAAGAGAAAACAATGGGAGTGGAAGAAGGGACAAGCAGGAGAGGACATGATGAATAAGGTCAAGAAAATTTTCTAGACCTGAGAGACATGAGTTCTCGAATTGAAAGGGCCCAATTAGAACATAGCACAATGGATGAAGGCAGATCCTGACCATGGAACATGGGTGAACACTGAGACCAGAGTATATACCACAGGCTTGGAGGCAGGAGTTGGGGAGTGGGGTGGATAAGTCACCTACTAAAGGATCAAGAATTACAATGAATTCAAATATAGCAACAACAATAATGAAAGACAATGGAGGAGTGTTTTTAAAAATCTGAAGGAAAATGATTTCCAGCTTAGAATTTTATATCTAGCCAAAACATCAATCAAGAATTGGAATACACTCTCAAGAATCTACTGAATAATGTAATCTAGCAAGATAAGATGGTAGAATAAGAAAGAAGAAACAAGACACCAGAAGCTGGAGATCATTACAAAGGAGAGACACCAAAAATCTCCAGGAAGATGGTGAGAGGAGAGGCCAGGATACTGGATGGGGACAGATACCATCTTTGAGATCATACTGCCATTTTACCATCCTTTTAACTGAGGACCAAATGCCCAGGTGAGCCTGACCTCAGTTCTTTAATCCACTTGCTTTGTCCTGACCACATCTCTGCTCTCCTCTCCATTCCCTGTTTTCTGAATCAGCCAATGGCACTCATTTCAGCCCTGCTCAGTTGTTCTTTGACCTGCTCTGAGATCTGGGGATAAGTCATGGTGAGCTTAGGAGAAAAAGACTAAACTCCCATTCCCCTTGGATATCTAGTACTTGGTCTACACTGCAGCCCAGCAGAAGCCCTATCATTGTTAAGCCCCATGTTTCCCAAGATTCCATTATGACCTTGCCCAGAGGGGCTCTTGTCAACACACAGGGCTGAACTAAGCTGAACTGAGCTGAACTAAGGTCTAAGAGACTGTTCATCTTACCTTCTCTGGAGAACTTTTGCCATATATTGGTAATACTGACCTTCCTTTATTCATCTAATTGTGTGCTTACTATCCAGTTTTCCAAAAATAAATAATTAATTACTTAAGGATCATATCTAACTGGGAAACTGAGGGGAGGAGGGAGCAAAGGGAATGATTTAGACAACAGTCAAGAGCAAGTTACCCCTTGGCTGGGGGAAGGAGAACAATACAATTTGGGAGGGACACACAAAGGCTTTTAAGGTTCAGGGAATATCCTGTTTCTCAGCCAGGGTGGTGTGTATATAGGTGTCCATTTTATTATTATTCTTTAAGCAGTGTATGTTTCACATCCTCTTCTAAATGATACTGCTATTCTCTATTTATTGTAAAATAGGACATGTATACAAACAAGAACACAGCATTTATATAAGAATGCTGCATAACTAAAATTTATAAAGAATCTTAGTCTTAGTTTTAGGTCTTATTTTTCACAACATATTAGGTGTTAGTTTTCATAACATAAATCAGTTTTTGTGGTGTCGTCAACAGTATTTATGCCTAAACTTTCAAGGAGTTTATTAGTAAGTTCCTAATAAGCACTATTCAAAAGAATATACTTATTTGTTTCCATTTTAGTTTCATTCATGATGTTAAGCAAAGAACAATCACTCAGTATATACATTCATGAATACAATGAAAAAGAGTACATGAAATACATAATTTTTGGTCCCTCTATCTAGTGTTCTATAAAAGCTATTCCAGAGCTGGACATACCTGCAACTCAGGAACTTAGAAATTTAGAGTTGGTTGACAGATTGGGTCCCAACTCAGAGGTCTATTCTGAATGGAAACATCTGAAAAGAGCTCACATGAGACGGCGCTCTTAGAAGAAACCTTTATCATTCTTCATATACAAATGGATTTAATAAAGCAAAGAGACTCAGAGAAATGACCTGGTACATAATATAAAATATAGAAACCACTTAGCAACTGCAATTCAAGAAGAATCTATCACGTAAAAACACCTTTGATCAAAAGTAGCATTTGCGAAACAGACGTTCAAATGAGAACCAGTTGCCAGATACCAGATTTCAATACTATATTTTCAGACAGTTTCTAATATTGGAGCCAATCTTGTTTTTGTTTTTGTTTTTGTTTTTGTTTTAAAGTCTTATAAGAATCTTTTGGAAAGACTTTCAAACCTTTTTCACCTATCCTCATGTAAAGGCCTTTCTGCACAACACTAAATCTGGCTACTTTCTGTCATAACTTTCCCTCCCAAGGTTGGCATCAGGAGGTTCTGGGAGAAGGGAGCTGGCAATGCATTGCTGGCTGGGATGCTGTGGGGGGAGGGGGACAGTGTCCCTGCCATGGTCCTGTGGAAAGAGAGGGTGCTGTGGGCTTCAGGGCCTGAGAGAAGCTGGACAGTGGCACCACTAGCAGGGAGCAGCTAACAAATCTACCTACCATGCAGCTGTAGGCAGACCCCTGCCCCCAAGTACTGGAGGGCTGTTGAGCAAAAACAACAGACTATGCATTGCTCACTATAAAGACTTCTAAGGCCCACTGGATTTCTCAGTTTTTAAATTGTTCACATTTAATAAAGCAATTTTGAAATCGTTTAAACATTAAATTTTTTCAGAGAAAAAAATTGTCAGGTATTTTATTCTATGTGTATACATGTTAAGTTTTCTAGTGTCTCATTTTGTAATCAGTACTTTATTGGAACAATTCCCTTGTCTTCATACCTTCACTCTTTTTCATCCTGTTCTTTTATCTTTCCTCATCCATTCACACATCAAAAATGCTGATATTGAAGTTTGACTTATTTACTCTTCATAGAGGTAAGCCCCACCTGGGGTGAAGCCCACTTCTCTAGCCTGCAATTGTCCTAGTTCAGAAGTGTCCCTGCCTCCTGTTTCCTCCCTGGACACACCCTCAGTGAGCACCCAGTGCTGATACCATAGTAACATTCAGTCAGACTCTTTCTATTATCATCTAGCTTATAAATGATTTCCCAGTTCAGATATACCTTCCAAACAGATGGCATTTCAACTGGAGAAAGTTCAAGGGTCATACAGACCCAGATTTCCATCCTGACCTCCTATTTATTAGCTGTCTGCCCTGGTCAGATCTCTCAGCCTCTCAGAGTCCTGGATTCCTTATCTGTGGAAGACAATCATAAAACATTCATTCCCTGGGGGCTGGTGATGAAATCAGACAATGTCTATGAAAAGACTCCTATTGTGCCTTCCTAATTACTGCACTCTTCTTTTTAAAATTTCATCTCAAAATTTAGCCATCTTTTATTTTTATCATGTCTCTAATCCACAGGCTATTTAAATGACATAAAATATTTAAAATACTTTTTTAGAATCTGTAAATAATGTTTTATAAACATAAATGGAACCTAATAGGTGAAATACGGAGAAAGATATCCTTCAAATGCATTTTCCTTGTCATTTCCAAATACAATAATTTCTGCATTACTATGAAATATTAATTATTAAACAGCTGGATAAATTGCTTTTTATTTTAAAATCAGGATGTCTTTAACACTGCTTGTAATTCATCATGGCATATTTACCCTACTCTTTTAGTGCCTCTCTCTACTCCCAAGGCCCCACTAAAATTACAGTTTAGTTATTAACAAAAAAAGATATATGTTTTGAAGAACAAAGAAAACTGGAAGGGAGACATCATCAGATGAGCAACTTCAAACAAGCTTTGGAAATGGCAGGAGGGGGTGGTTTTAGCATGGTAAACTGCCTCAGCATAACAGAGGCTGCAACATAAAGCATGTGGGGTCCCCATAAGAAGAGAGCCAGCTTACCTGCAGGACCCAGGAAATTTAGCACTTGGAGGTTCCAAACAATACAGAAAGTAGCAATGAGGCACAGGCCTGAACGTGAGGATGGCTGGACAGAAATGGACCCGTAGAACTTTACCCCACCCCAAGTAGACAACCACTCTCCTAGGCAAGAAAACAACAATTCAGTCTCTGAACAGACTGATCAGGAAGGCTCCAACCTTGGAGGCAGTGTGCTGAAAACAGGATAAAGTCAGAGTCTACAGGCTTAAGGGTGGAATTTCCAGCTTGCAGCCCTACCAGGGGAAAGGAAGCCAGGAAAAAGAAAGAAAAACTGGATCTTAAAATTATGAGCCCTATTAAAAATATCAGTCAATAAATGAAGCAACTCAAACCATAATTACATTTGCCCCACCAGACACCCACTCTAAATGGAAATAGAAAGTTACCTGACAATGTTACTCAGAATTTCATACTTCACTTATGCCTGTTCTCTCCCTGGATGAGTTTTCTGTCAGCCAGCTGTCAGTTCCTACTGAAGGAAATCAAAGCTATTCAGAGTTACATAAATACCAAAAATTTGGTCCATATATCTCTCCCTTTTGGAATCTAGTTTTTTGATTCCTTGTTAAGAAAGACATCCCCACAGTGTTTTGTAGTTAATCATATTTCACTCAGTATGAGTCTGTAAAGCGCCTGGAGTGGATTCTATGCACAGGCAATTTGTGTGTGCGCGCGCGCGCGCGCGCGCGTGTGTGTGTGTGTGTGTGTGTGTGTGTGTGTATTCGGGGAGGAATGGACTGCTGGGAGGAGGGCTGCAGCACTCATCTGGTCCACCCCATTCTGTGCAGATGAAGCAGCTGAGGAGGGGAAGGTGGGGGAACTCCCAAAATCACTCCTTTTGCTTACCAGACTGAACTAGATATTCCCATGTCCCTTCTTGCATGTCTCCTTGCGTCTTGGCTACCAGCTTCCCACAGGGTAGGGTTCTGTTCTGAGTACCTGATTTGTGTGGTTTCTAACACAGCAGTGCCACATGGGCTGAGGTGCTTGAAAAGCCATCTTGGAAATGATAGGCTTGGCCGTCCCTGTGGCTTTTTCTCCCCAAGACACCCCCAGTTTTCCTTTCATTCACAGACGAATTTTATTTTCCTTTGCGCCTCTTACTCCATCACCAAATAGGATCTATGCTCCCTCCCCCCAAAATTATTTATCCCACCACGGTGGAGGAGGGCAGCCAGGAGGTAGAAATTAACAAATGTGTTTCAAGCTCAAAATTCAGTCCCACATCCAGTCCCACTTCCAACAGCTATCAACCTCTGCTTCAGGCTGTCTCTGTCATCACCTCCAGGTCATCTGATGCTCCACTGCAGAAGCAAAGGGCAGAGATGCCTGCCATACCTACAGAGGGCAAAGGAAACCCACAGGTCCAGAGAAGAGTACAGCCTTGAGTTAAAATGGGCCAGGTACTGGAGGTCTGCTGTCCTGGCCTTCCTAGAGGGGTCTGAGGAAGCCCAGAGCTGCTGCGTGGGCCAGCTGCACCTGAAATGAGGCAAGGTTGCCTGCCACCAGCAAAATATGTGTCTCCTCCCTACTCAAGGAGAGGGGCAGAGCCAGGACAAAAGATGCAGCTGAGACTGTCCCAGGAAACGTAGTAACTTGCCAGGGAAAGTGTTCTCTGGCACCGGCTTGTAAGAAATATTTAGAAACTGCCCAAGAGGGAGGAGTAGCTGGTGAGGTTTGCTGTCTTTCCCACACGTACCCAGAAAGGGTTGGTTAATTCTAGTTACTTCGGCTGTCCTTTAGGCTCTGGGGCTGGGCCCTGGGGCAGCTGCATCCCTGCATCTCTCTGAAAACCCCCCTTCCCAGCACACACATATAAAGACACGCAAACCTATACCTCCAAGTCTCATGGAATCAAGCTGACAGGATTTCCAGGCTGTTGAGGGTTCTGGTAGCGTCCTAACAGTCCCCGCTGGCTCTTTTCCTCAGTTTTTCCCGAGAGCGGGAGGGTGTCAGTACGAGGTGCTGCTTGAGAAGGGCAAAGGAAGGTGACTGGGGTGACAGCGCAGGGACACCGATGTGGGCAGGGTGCGCGTTTCGTCGCCTCGCCTCTGAGCCCAGGCAGGCAGCTGGCGGGCTGAGGCGATCATCATCCACGAGAAGGGGTTCTGCCCAGAGCCGCTGCGGAGCAGTCCTCGCACCGCCCGCCCAGAGGACACTGCCTTCCCTTGGGAAATGGCAAGCCCGAGGAGGGCAGCCAATGCCCGCATGCTGGAGCAAGCGCACCTATGAACCCGTTTTCCGACAAGGAGGTCTGGGGTCCTGGTGCCAAACCTGTGCGCCCCCAAGAGGCTCCGGGAGCCGGCTGGCTGCCCGCCCCTGTGTGGCTCGAGTTTGTAGAGCCATAACGGCTCCGCAACCCCCACCAGCCCGCCCTCCGTGCCGAGCCTGCACT